CCTCATGTTTGTCTCAGGATGTCACTTTGTCACAAGTCCTCAGCTTGAAGGCTGCGGGGATGTGACGGTTGTGGCCGCATCGCCTCAGCTTGTCTGCGCTGGAAGGCCATGCTCCAGCGAGTCATTACACTAACTAGCAGTGGCAAATGAGTCGGTAAAATGCAGCACTAAGCTGGTAATGTACTAGAGAAGTCGGTCAGGTTAATTCGGTTATGGAGGGGTTCCCATTATTGATACCTCTTAGTTCTGTCCGATAGCTCTAGAATTGGTTGAGCTATTTGCCGCGATTACTGACAGATTAACTTGAAACTCGTGAGCGAATTTTCTATTTTGTCAAGAGCTGACTCAGAGTGCAAAATATAGACATACACAGTATACTTCAACAGTGATATTACAATACCATCTCTGGGTCTTTATGCCATTTAAAGTTAATTTTAAGGACGGGGATATAACCGGAATCCCTCGTTATCAGGAGCCTGCCAGTGTCTCAACGACCACTTGGCGATAAAATGATCTGGCACTGTGCTTCAGCGCAATGCTGATGAGTAACACTAGAAGGAAACTGCTGGACAGAGATTGGCTAAGAGTGTCTGATCACATTTTGGCCCCCAAAAGATGGTCCGCCATGCAGCTCACACGTTTTCCTTGGGGCCACAGAGAACACACGTATGATCTTTTATTGTGAGTCAATTGCAGAGCTGCTATAGTCTCTGAATAGTGGCGAATCTTCTCACTCATTTATGACAAAACACCCCATAGAATGTCTGTGATGACAAAGTTCAGGGTCAGATTATGTTGAAATCAAAGGGACTTTACGTTGAAAGGACACCACTAGGGCTGCAACAACGAATTACTGAAATCAATCACAATCGATTATTAAAAGTGTTTGCAACGAATTTCATTATCGATTTGTTGTGTTGTGCGATTATTATGTCACTCAATGAGTTGTTTTTATACTCACTCCCCTTTTTTGAACCATTCATTTTTGACTCTGTTGTCATGAATATATTTATGTGGTGTTTACATTTACTTAAAATATTTGTATTTTTCTTTATTTTTTATATTATTATTATTATTATTATCATTATGTTCAATGAGCAATCTGTGAACTTTCTGAAGTCTTTTTGCAATGTGACTTTGCACTTTGCAGTGTTTTAGAATAAAGGGTGGAAATTAAATATTTTTTCATAGCGTTTTTTTAATCTGATTCATCAAAGGATCGAACAATTAATCGATTATCAAAATAATCATTAGTTGCAGCCCTGCACACCACTGATAACTGACATTTTTTCCGTCATGTTTCAATGAAGGAAAATATCTTTTGTATTCGTACTGCAAACTTTTCAGAATTCTTCTAACTTTTCTCAAGTCCTGGTCACAACTCTTGGTTGCGGGTTATGTCTACTCTCCAAATGATGTTGAATCTTGGCAAATATTGGAGACTTGGAACCGGTCAGAGGACAAAGGCGTGTGTGCAAAGACTGGCTTAGCGTCTGCACAATGATGTTCTTGTCTGAGGGTCCAAACATCTATCCACCCTCAGGCTTTAATTACTGTGTCAGGATAACGAGTCAAATCGAATCAGTTCTCTCTCTTGCTCTTAATTTGTATGGAGTTTCTATTGTGAAGGCAACTGCTTTAGCCCCCCACACCAGCTCCCCTGGAGTGACACCAGGCTTCTCTCTCTCTCTCTCTCTCTCTCTCTGTGCACTTGTGTGTGTGTGTGTGTGGTAAGAGAGAAAAAGATTTGCACACAGCCATGTCTTTGCAATGCATATCCACTCATGTAATTATCAAATTGACTCATAACACTATCGGTATAGAAGACGATTGGTAACCGTTTTTTGCGGTTGACAGATATTAACAGGATTTTATATACCAGGGGAGATGAGTCATAGCCTTACGGTGGGGGATTAGATCCACCTATACATATGGCTGCTGCTGGGAAAGACACTCTATCATCTAGCTATTATGATTCTGACAGGCACGACTAACTGGCCACATGCACGTCTGTGTGTGTGTGTGTGTGTTGGCTAAAGAGACCCTGAAACCTTAATGGATTCCTGCAGAGTGAAGGACAATCGTAGCCCATGGCCAGTCCGAGCTTATCCTCCGCTCATCTCAGCTCAGCTCAGAGGCAGCCACGGCTCCAGCTAGGCCTCAGGCCATCTGGCTGACACGCAGCCACGTGCACACTCTCTCTCTCACACTAACACACACACACACACTCAGGCCGTGAATCCCTGAAGTTAAGTCCCACGCTTGTTTGTGTCCGCCATTCAAAAAACCCATCGCAAAACGTAGTGCACATCCCTCTGAACTTACACGGTGAATTACAGCTAAAACCTAGAACGTGTCAAACTGTGAAGATGTGAAATATAATACAATATGACGAAAGGAAAGCATTGCAGTGCTGCCAGAAATAGGCTAATATGGTTGTAACTGTTACCATGGAAGTGTACTATCTCAATAACAGCTAAATTTATACAGTAACAGTCAGTCCAGAAAAAGAAATGCGTCAAAAAGTGCATGGCACTGTGGGAAATTAGACTCTATATTATTCAATATTTACATCGTTGTGACTCAATATTTTCTGACCATATTTTTTTAGCCTTACCTCCACGTGTTACTATCTACTCACCAAGCTAGAAGCAATATAGCAGACATAACAATCACCGTAATAAGCTAATATTATCTGCACAAACACAAGCTGAGCAACATGTCAGCAATGCAATGGCCCATTTTTGATTAAAAAAAAGTCCAGAATTAATCTTGGCATCACAGATGGCCCTGAATGGCCAGAAATCTTAACATATTAAGCGTGTTTTTTTTCCTCCTATGTATAACGTGTGGTGGGCCCCCTTTGATTGGGGCTAAGTGGAAAGAGCGCGATCACTCCTGGTGGTCCGCTTCAGTTTAATAGCTGGCCAGCTGTACGCCGCTCTGCACTTACACCACAGGGTAGTTATGAGAACAAGACCACACACTGAGACTTAGCAAAGAAATCGCACTGTAGCACCCAGACCTTGCACGCATAGAAGTATGTGTGCGCTTATCTGCGGACATGCACACTATCTTGTATAGTACGTCCGCCTATGTGCTAATTTGTTTGGTGTGGGTTCTTGCATTAGTTTGTGGATTCGTGTTTCTGGCCTCGCCTGCTGTTTGTACCTCTGCACACTTTAATTAATATGCAGGTTTTTTTTGCATCTAGGCCTTTTGTGATTTGGCACTGGCACTGCATGCTGGCAAGGCATAAAAGAGTTGAAGTCTATCTGTCTATAAGTCATTTTTAATGGCGTTAGTTACACAACCAAACTCAAGTCCCTGCTGCATAAATGTGTGGCATTTAGAAATATGAGAAAGTCCGATGGCAGTGAATCATGTAGCGCTCTCTGCTGCGGAGCATGTTGGGGATGACTGACATTGACATTGACCCAGATGGGCACTTCTCCTGAATGGACAGCGGCTGAAACCAAAGCAGCGCCAGCTCAGTGTCAGGGAGTGAAAACGGCTCCGCTCTGTGGGTTCCAGCACTATCAGAAGTGGGAGAGACGGGCTGACTCAGTGTCCTTTTCTGCTGCTGAGCACGTCTGGCAGTGGGGGGGGGAGGAATGCTGTGCAGCTGGAGCCTCGGTTTATAAAGAACTTCTAAATTGCAGCGTGTTCATGTGGCGGGGGGACTGCTCTGTTTGGACATAACGTGTGTCACACCCCTCCCGATGGACGATGGAAAGCAGAGCCCTCCTCTCTCTCAGGGGAGGGTGGATAGCATCTGATGCGGCAGTCATTTCCCCCCGAAGAGGCTTTGTCACTTCAGGACCACGGAGAGCAGCTCTCACAGTTCCTGGCATAAGTCTCAGCACAGAGAAACGGTGGCTTTCCTTCAATACCACCAAAATGCTCACTGTCAGATTACACACATTCAGTCATCAGTCATCGTCTATACTGCACAGGTCACGCAGGGGGGGTGCTGGAGTCAATCCCAGCTAGCATCGGGCAAGAGACGGGGTACCACCAATCGGCTCGGCAGAGACAAACAACTCTAACATTACGGGCAATGTAGAGTCACCAATTACCCTAACCCCCCTCCTCCCCCCCCCGGAGGCATGACTTTGGACTGAGGGGGGAAGCCGGAGTACACAGAGAGTCTCCACCGGCGCTGGAAAGGAAGCCAGGAGCCATTTTGTCATTTGTGTGTGTGTGTGTGTGTGTGTGTGTGTGTGTGTGTGTGTGGGTGTTTGTGTGTGTAGCTGAATAAATATGGATAGGTATGCAGCCATGGCGAGAGCTGGGTAGACAACAAGTGTCTCTCTCAGAGCCTCTTTGCGGCCCTCTTTCGTGCCTCTCAGCCCGGCTCGGCGATTAACCCTGAACACACACACACACAGCAGCCACAGCGGTGCCTTGACGTTGCCTCTCGGGGCGGCTGGTTAACAACAGCGGCTGTGCACACCCGAGGTGAAGGTGTAGAGAGACACTAATTGTCTTTCTTTACTCGTATTCAGAGAGAATGCTAAGGTGCCGCTCCTCTGACGGCCCACCGGGGCGGCGGAGTGGGCTGGAAGGAGGCCTGGTGAGACGCGCTGTTCCTCTCTCTCGCGCGCGGCTGAGTGTGATAAGCGGACGCCCGGCCGCGTGTAGGAGTTTGTTAACGTTTGAAACTCTCACAGTTTGTTTCACAAGTGGTAAAATATCTTATTGGAGAAGCCCGTCCGGTTGCAAATTCATCACGCCCACATGTGATGTTCCAATGTGAAAACCAGATTGCGAGGCTGTGCATCAGCGGTGGTGAAACATAACTGCGCGGGGAAAGCGAGTCGATAACAGCTCATTTGTGTTTTACATGAGGACAATGGGAACCACTTTCATCCCACCTGCTCTTGTCAAACGCTACACATCATATTTACAATGTGGTCAAATAATAAAGTGCCTCCTAAAAGTATTAAGCTTCATTGAATTATCAATAACTTTGCCTCTCTCCCTCTTTCCCACTCCAGCTCTGAGCCGGTCAATGATGCCCTTCGGCTTGATGCGCCGAGAGCTGGCGTGTGAAGGCTACCCGATCGAGCTGCGCTGCCCCGGAAGTGATGTCATCATGATTGAGACGGCCAACTACGGCCGCACCGATGACAAGATCTGTGACGCAGACCCCTTCCAGATGGAGAATGTGCAGTGCTACCTGCCCGACGCCTTCAAGATAATGTCCCAGAGGTGACTATTGATCTTCTCAGTGTGCCTGTGCAGTCAGAGCAGCCATGTGATTGGCCAAAGAAACAACATAATCCCCCCCCAGGATTTCCTGCTTTTTCTCCTGGAGGTGTCGACGTATTTTGTGAAATACTGGACTCAGCATCCCGGGGTCCCTCTTTGGAGGCCTGTGGTGGTTTATTGTATGTGGATGTGTATGTTCTGAGTAGTTGCGAGAGGGTTTGTTGCGCTTCCTACAGCTGCTCACTGCGTTTGCCCTCAGCCTCTGCTTCCTCCGAGCCCAGCTCAATGGCAGCCCCTCTTCCAGCTATCCATCACGCAAGTAATGGAGGCACGAGGTTCTAGCGTTGACAGAGAGCAAGGAAGGCAGGGAAGTGGCAGCGGGGAGGAGTCGAGCATTGAGGGGGTGAAGGAGGAAGAGAGAGTGCTGTAAATGAAGGGATGATGGAGTGAGTTCAGCAGAGATTTGACAAATGAAGGGAGTAAGAGGGACTATGCAGGAGGGAAATGCTAAAAGCTCGATAGAGAAGGATTTCCTCACGTTTTGTGTGTGTGTGTGTGTGTGTGTGTGTGTGCGTGTGCATCTTTTCATCTGGGTGTTTCATTGGGTGTTTAAACGTGAAAAAGCTGTGCAGCTTCGATATAGGTGTGTGTGTGTGTGTGTGTGCGTGTGCATCTTTTCATCTGGGTGTTTCATTGGGTGTTTAAACGTGAAAAAGCTGTGCACATGAATGTTTTCCCTGTCCGTGTGACAGTGGAGTATTTGCATTGCTAGCCCCTCGCGTCCTTCCCTCTTCTCTCACCTCTAATTGCTCTCACTCACAATCCCCCAGGAGAAGGGCCTCTTACGTCACTCGCCCTCTCTCTCTCTGTCTTCTCTATCCTTCATCCCTCTCCTTGTCCCTCTCTCCCTCTCTCCCTCCCTCTCTGTATCCCACCTCCCCTCGGCTGGTGCAGCTGTCACATGATCTAGTCTAGTGTGAAATTACTCCCTTCCCTACCGTTCTGCACATCTTTCAGAGCCTGAAGAGGTTTTTCTGCAGTCGCTCCTCTTCGTCTTTCTTTCAATGGCACTCGTCATTTTGTATTTTTTTTATATGGCATCACTTACCTCCTCCAATCTCTCTCTCTCTCTCTTTCTCCCTTCCTTCCGCCCCGGTCTGTCTCCCCTCACAGGTGCAATAACCGCACCCAGTGTGTGGTGGTAGCGGGGTCCGATGTGTTCCCAGACCCCTGCCCAGGGACCTACAAGTATCTGGAGATCCAGTACGAGTGCGTCCCTTACAGTGAGTACTGAGGCCCCCGCCACCCTCCCCCAACCTCCCCAACACCCTCGCTCCATTCATCACCTCTACCATCCCCCCTACCGCCCCAACCTGAAGCTCCTACCCCCCTTTTCACCCCCCCGCCCCCCACCAAAAAAAAACATTGCCAAATTACAATCCTTACACTTCACGTGCACACGGGCTCTTTTTTCCACACATGCACAACAAAACACGACAGACGGCCATCCTCACCTGCTTCCTGTCTCTCTACCTGTCTCTCTCTCCATCACACACCTACAATGCACAAACAAACACACACATACATGCACGCACCCGCACAGAACGCTAAACCTTTTTTCCTCAACGACAGAGCAACGCAACAGTGGCTGAGAGGGATTTTCACTTGGGGGAAGGAAACACAGGGTCTGATAAGCACTTCACACGGACCCGCTGCACACGTGGGGTCAGCCCCTAACGGGAAACACAACGGCGTTCAACGCACACTGCCCCACACATTGATTGACCCAGGGGCCCACAACTGAGTTTATCAGGTGCCAAACACCTTTGCTGTCCCTCTGATTTCCAATAAAAATTAAAATTAGGCGCTGTGAGGCCCGGGAGGCAGGGGGTGGATGGAGAGGGGAGCGGGGGGCTTTGCGCTTGTACTGCACCTCACAAAAGGAATGTTAACACAAACAGAAAAGGGCTTATTTTAGACCACATGACCCGGAGCGCCACACATTTGAATGTCCCCCATGGTAACGGCTGACTAATACTCGCCACTGCTCAGAGAGCTCTGTGGCAGGTGGGACACGCACACACACACAAGTCTACCTCGCGCTTGCGAAAGGGGGACACGTGGCTGCCCTCATTCTTCCTCCGTCTGACTCGCCGCCCCCTCCACACCCCCCCGAGCAGACGTGAACCAAAGCACACTCGCACAGCAGAGTCACAAAGGATTATATGGCGTTGTGATGATTCTCGTCCATGTGAAAATCTCCGCTCAGCCCCCCCCCCTTCCTCCTTCCTCCCATATATTATTACTCTCAGCATTGATCGCCTCCTGCACCCCCCTCCTCCCCCCCCCCCCCCTCACTGTGAAGGATCACCCGGTTGGAGGGGAGGGGCAGTGGCGCTCCCCTTCGGCAGACAGAAGCAGAATTGGAAGGGGTACGAGAAGGGGGTGCGAGGAGGGTGTTGGGGGGGTGGGAACGTTGTGAGATAGGGGTCTTCTTGGAGTGGGGGGGCTGTTTGATTGATTACGGTGGGGATCCGGGGTGATTCTCTCTGCTCTTTCCTCAGGCACAGATGCTGTGGCGAGCCTCCGGTCAGAGTTGTCGCAGAGGCGCTAACCTTTACTCTCTTCTTCTTCTGCTCCATCTCGTTTCTTCTCTCCGAGGTCTCTCAGTCAATATCACCACTTTTCCTCTCTTTCTGTATTCTGCTTTTCTCTATTTCACCTCCCGCCTACACGTTGAGGTCTTTAATCTTCAGCCGCCACCACAAATGATCTCATTCTTCTTCTATTCTGCTCTGTTTATCCAACCCGCAACATTATATTCTCATTCTTCTGAGTCTTGCACTTTCTCTGTCTTTTTTTTTTTTCTTTTACAGGCGGGACAAATATTCAAATGTCCAACCATCCAGCTCGGATGGAGAACATCAGAGAAACTCAGGGACTTCCAAGCACCTCTTCCGATCTTTAACCTTCCTCTGCTCTGTGCTTTTGTGCCCTTGGTTTACCTCTTGAGAGTCTTTGTTGAGTCAGGTTGCAGCAGCAGTCACAGATAAGAGGTCAGCTGAGTTTTCGTTCCATTGGGAATTATCCTTTACTGTCGCCCAAGTGGCAACAAGTGTTCGTCTCAAGTCTTGTCTGCCCTCTACACCTGTCTCTGAGTCAATGTTAGTTTCAGTCACACTGATCTTCTCCAGGCTCAACTCCCGTTGTTGGACCAGTTGTTTGATTGCAGCTTGGTGTCCCGTCATGAAGGTTCACGTTAGCATTGCGTGGTTGTCCCTGCCTTCTTCACCCCTAATGCATTTTAACCTTATTTTCTCCCCCTCTGACTGCACTAGGGCGCTTCCTTTTTGCGAGGCAATCAAAGGGATGATTAAATAGCTGCTGACTTGCATTTTTCCCCGCCCTGTTTGAAAAAAAAAAAAAACATTTATGATTGAAGTATTGTGCTGCTTAGAAAATTGGACGCTGATCCCTCCATGATGAAAAGTCCTGCCTGTCTGAGGTGACAAAGAAGAGCCAATTACCCGTGTCAACTGCCACTCTCCTCCGAAGCGACTCGCTCACTCACACGCCCGCAACCAGAAACAAGTGCGCGCACACCAAAAGGGCTCAGCGCTTACACCACGTTCCCATTTTCACAGAGCAGAGAAGTACGACTCGGCGCGTTCAGACTCGGAGCTGAAACCGTTCGTCCCAAAACCCAGTCACCGTCGCACCGCACGCCTCTCAACTCGGCCACTTTTAATTACCAGGAGAGGGGGGATGGGGGGCGCGCGCAGCTCTTTTCAGTTCTGCCTCAGCAGAGATTTGTCAAGATTAATTGAATTTGCTGCTACTAATCGCTCTGGTAATGCCCCGTCGTTCACGTCTGGCTGGGAACGCCGGGCCCTCTGGCATCACCCAAGGCCGCCGCATGTTTTTCATCGATTGTCTCGACAAAAAAAAAAAAAAAAGGGGGGTGAACAAAAGAGAGATGACGTGCTGAGGTTGCGTGTCGTAGCGGCTGAGATGGTGTGCAGCCACGTTGATGACTGTGCGTGATGTTAACGTCTGACAGGGTCCTCTGTGTGTTACCAGTCACCTGAAACGGAGAGGTGACAGGCAGAGCCGAGTTGACACACACACACACACACACACACTCTTTCGGCTGAGCTCAAACACGGGTCTTGAACGTGCGTGGGATTGCTTTGGCAAAATACAACATCCGCCAGCAAGTCAAATCATATCTCATCGAGCCAAAAAGCCCTGTGAGCCCCCCCCCACCCACCGTCACAAAGCATTGTTTTTGCCAGGCGGAACAGAGCAAAGACAAAACGGCTCAACGCAACTCTCATTTTGCACTGTCACAGCCGGCTGTAGACTCCCGGGTCACATTAAGACATCGCAGATTCACGCGCGCAGCTGCGGCGCGTATTTACCGCAGTAGAAACCCTCCACCGCAGTCCCAGCACAGATGTACACTGAGTCTAAGTAAATCCACCCTGCGAGAGAACTCCACCCGCCCCGCCACCAAAACCACCACCACCCCCCCTCCCCGCCGCTGCGGGAAACAGCACTACATCATTATCGACTCCTTAACGCTCTCCACTATCCGTGCTGGCCATGCCAGAGCCATTAGACTCAGTGTTGAGCCTCTGCTCACTTTATCAGCTGCGATTTCTCTTGCTGATATGCACAGTTGCAGGTAGCTAAAGAGCTGCTGGTAAGAGCGGCCTACCGAGGTGATACAGGAGAGATTCTATAGAGGTAAATCCATATTCTGCACTTTTACATTCATTTCTCTTCATGAAATTGATTCCTCCCCCACAAATGCATTCAGCGCTGCCTATTCATTATGAGACGTCCCTTTCTGGACACTAAGCCGCCGTAAATTATGGCTGAGGTGTCGGGAAGAGTTTGTCAGTAGAAGGAATAATGGCATTGTAAAAGGACAAGTTCTCAGCGGGAGAAAAATAAACTCTTTTATGTGTCGGGGGGAAAATGAAATTCTATTAAAATGTTTAGGGGCACGATCAAACGTGGTGCTCCGAGATGTTTGGTAAATGAGAAGTAAAGCTGATTTGCTCAGCGACGGTTCTTCACCATGACAATTTTAAAGCGAGAGACGGAGAAAGGGGAACGCAGAGGACGGAAGAAGCTTGAAAGGACACACTCTCTAAACACTGAAAGGGACAGACAAGGCTCAAGATGTTCTGCAATACAACAACGTGTGTGTGTGTGTGTGTGTGTGTGTGTGTGTGTGTGTGTGTGTGTGTGTGTGTGTGTGTGTGTGTGTGTGTTTCTAGCTGTACTCATTAGTGTGGGAGTAATTGATAGGGTTGTAGAGAGCGCTGAGCAGAGTGATTAAGGGGAGGGAGGCCAGTGGCTTATTTCTCAAAAGGGCCCTGAAAAAGAAATGCTGAATGAATCAGACAAACAACCATGGTGGCCTTAAACTAACCTCCTGCTCACTGAGAGGACAGTTTGATGAGTTTTCTCTGTGTGTCTGTGTGTGTGTGTGTGTGTGTGTGTTCTTGGCTATGTGTGTTAATCTTGTGTGTGTGTGTGTGTGTGTGTGTGTGTGTGTGTGTGTGTGTGTGTGTGTGTGTGTGTGTGTGTGTGCGCTTAGTGTCTATTTTTCAGGTCGACCAAGAGCCGAAGAAATGGAGTCTTCGTCAACAGTCTTCCATCGATATTCTTCTTCTCCTTTTCTGCAGCATTGAGGACAATTTCTTTCTCTCTTTCATGTTTGTCTCCCTTTCTCTCTATAAGTCACTGCTGTGCATCACACACGTTCCTCCTGTTCAGGGAAACGCACTTAGCTTAAGTGAACGCATGAAGTGGACACGCTCCGCTGTCGGCAGATGAGTTGGTGAAAAAGCACCATATGTTCGAGTTCTGCTTAATCCTGAATCCCCGACCCCGTCCAACCGCCCGCCCGCCCGCGGTTGTTTTAGTGAGGATGAAAGCAGGACGCTCTCTGATCGGTCTCGCCATTCCCTGATCTTAGAGCTAATGATTCCACTCGCTGTTGGTGACGAGGATTTAATGCTTCCCCCCCCCCTGCCCCCGGCTTCACCGGCCTCTCATCCCTAGCTTTGCCATGTTTGGTTTAGTTTAGTTTGATCTCGGCACAAGATGATAAATGATCAGTGGTGCTGCTTATACCGGTGCTGCCTCTGTCGCATCGCTGGCAAGATGTAAGACCACCCCCCCCCCCACACACAGATCAGGCTAACGCACCCCCCCTTTTTTGATTTTGCTCGCTTCAAGTCTCTTTAAATGTCTCTCTTGTTCTCTA